TACTAGGCCGCCCCGGGAGCGGGGGAGGGCGGGAGCGGGCCGGGCTGCGGCCGGGCAGGGGGGGAGCGGGGGCGGCTCCCCGAAGTTGCTCGGGGGCGGCGGGGCGGATGGAGCCCGCGCTCGTCGGGGCAGCGCCGCTTCCCGCGGAGCTCCGGGCCGACGGATCCGCGCGACCGCCGCGGGCCGCGTCCTGCGGGGAACTTCGAGCGGGGCGGGCCGGCAGCCGGGGCCGCGGGGCTGCGTGCAACCCGGGCCGCTGAGGTGCCCCGTGCCGGCGCCGGGGGTCGGACCTCGCCGCCACAATGAACGGCGAGCCTCGTGTGCCCGCTCCCACGGGGCGGCTCCGGCCCCTTGGTGCGGGCAGCGCCAGCTCGGGGTCCGGGTCGGGAAGGCGGGAGCCCGCGGCGGCGAGCATCGCGCTGGGGGATACGGGCGCGTTCGGTGGAACCGTGGCAAATCTCAGCGCGGTGCCCGCGTGTTCCAAGCGGCCCGGGCCGGCTGTGGGTGACAGCGGGCTCGCTGTTAGGGCTGAGCGGGTGCAGCACGTAGGGCCGAGTGGCTCCCATCTCACTGCTGCTGGTCGGAGGCGTACAGGTGGGCTGTAAGGACGGCTTTCGCCTCAGCTGAGGAGAGGAAAAGGGGAAAAAAGGCCGAACGTCCAAAGGATGCCTTCATTTGGGTGCGGTGAGCAAAGCTGAAACGCGTGTCCCCGCTGTGTTCTCACGTGCAGTTGATTTAACCCGGGTGTCAGGCAGCTGCTGCTTCACGGTACTCGGGGCCTTGAGGCCGGCAGCATTCAGTAAAACACAACTTCTGCTGCTTTGAAATGATGGTTACTGCGTTAGCAGAGCAAGTGGCAGCCCTGGAATTGTCTGGTGCTTCCCCCTCCCTCCCCACACCTCCCATCCTCCATGTTGGCTCGCTACCTTCTTTTAAAACATTGTGTTTGATCACATCTCCTTCTAGAGACGATCTTCTCATCTTCCTTTATTGACCTGGGTAGGATTTCTTGGGCATTCGGCATGCTGTGTTGTTAGCTCCAATGAACCTTTTTTCTCAATGGCCTCTATGAGAAATGGTGCCAGAGCCAAAGCCCTGACCTGACATGCCCGTTTGAGGCAAGAATGTTGTTCACGTGCCCAAAGTATTGGGGTCAGTGATGCATTTGGAGTTGCCTGGAGCTAGATGAGCTGATGCAGTGTATTTCTGAAAGCAGAGGGGAATGTCACGCCGGTATGTCACTGAGTGTACAGAAGACACCTGTGCTTGGTTAAGGTGTAACCTCAGTTTTGCTACCAGCAGAATGTTCTCTTAGAATATTTTTCACAAACCTTAACGTGAATTCCTTGTTGATTGTGAGAGTTTCCTTGGTTGGTAGCCAGATGGAAACGTACTGCCGTGATATGACTTGGCGTGTGTGCTGGCCGGGTGGGCTCAGCAGAGAGCTTAATGTCAGACTGTAGAAGCGAAGGTGTGTCCTGTGGGCTGTTCAGCACTCAGCACCTGAGTGTACATCCCTTGGGTATGGGGAATACCACATCCCACAGTCCAGAGAGCTCCCGTAGTGTGGGCTTGGGGGCTGTGAGATTGGTGCCGGTGGTATTGGTTGTGCTGAATGCTGGATATGAAGTTTTGAGATCTCTGTCATTTTCAGAAAAAGAGGATTTAATACACTAATCGGGGAGGACAACGTTAGTAGCTTGTAGTCTTAGAACGTTTATTTACAGTGATACTTAATGGATTTCTTTCTTATCTGTTTCAGCAGAACCAACGTGTTCTCCTTGGAGATACGGGTGTTGGTGATCTGAGATTTCGGCTCTTCCCGCGCTGTTCAAGGAAGCGCCAGAAAGATGAATATCCAGGGGAAGGGCTTCCCTCTGGACCTCGGAGGAAGCTTCACTGAAGATGCTCCAAGGCCACCGGTGCCTGGTGAGGAGGGTGAGCTCGTGTCCACAGATCCAAGGCCAGTCAGCCATGGTTTCTACTCCAGTAAAAGCGATGTGGTTAGAAATGAGACCTCCACCGCAACGCCGAGGCGCTCCGATCTGGATTTGGGCTATGAACCTGAGGGGAGTGCTTCGCCAACTCCACCCTACCTGAAGTGGGCCGAGTCGCTGCACTCCTTGCTCGATGATCAGGACGGTATCAATCTCTTCAGGACGTTCCTGAAACAGGAGGACTGTGCGGATCTGCTGGACTTCTGGTTTGCCTGCAGTGGCTTCAGGAAGCTGGAGCCATGTGTGTCCAACGAGGAAAAAAGACTCAAACTGGCAAAAGCCATTTACAAAAAGTACATTCTGGACAACAACGGCATTGTGTCCCGGCAGATCAAACCGGCCACAAAAAGCTTCATAAAGGACTGTGTCATGAAACTGCAGATTGACCCTGACATGTTTGACCAGGCCCAAACTGAGATTCAATGCATGATAGAAGACAATACCTACCCTTTGTTCCTTAAGTCGGATATTTATTTGGAATACACAAGGACAGGTGGGGAAAGTCCGAAAATTTATAGCGATCCGAGCTCAGGGTCTGGGACAGGAAAAGGGCTACCTGGTTATCTGCCTACTCTGAATGAGGACGAGGAGTGGAAATGTGACCAAGACACTGAGCCTGAGGCCAGCAGGGACTCCGCACCCTCAAGCAGGCTCACCCAGAAGCTGCTTTTGGAGACTGCAACCCAGCGTGCAACCTCCACCCGGCGGTACAGCGAGGGCAGGGAGTTCAGGTATGTGAGTGCGCCGGCTGGGCCCTTCCTTGGGGGCCTCCAGATGCCCCTGGGGAATGCTGTGAGGTTGGAGTTGCTGGGAAGCAGAGGTGGTTTTGCAGCTGGGAGCAGTTGGGGCTGGTTGAGCATCAGCGTGGGACAGTGTCACATGGGCGTCAGGTTGAAACGCAGCTTTATCTGAATGTACTGCGAGCTGTTGGTAGGGTGTCTTTGGCCGGTTCCCCTGAATCACATCTGCAGGATGTTCTTTGCTGTGAGGAAATGCTGCTGGACGTGGTCAGGCTGTAGGTAGGAGGCAGCAGGCAGTGCCGAGCTGTGGGCAGCCCCTGTATGCACAGAGCGAGCAGAGCTGCGGTGTCAGGCTGGCTTGTAGCCTGCAGTGACGGAAGGTCAGTGTTCAGTTACAGGAGTGCAGATGAGTGCAGCTCGTGGTAAAACCCCTTGTAAATATACAAGGAAATGGTGATGAGCCACAACTAGAGGCTGCAGGAAGCTTGCGGGAAATACCCTGATGTCTGTCGTGTGTGTGTGGGTCAAATGGGGTTCGTGATGCTCCCTGTAAGTGGTATTGCTTTGCAGTCAGGTTTTCTGATAGTGGATTCCAGCAAGTAGGAATCCCCAAGCCCAGTTAAATTTGTTCCATGTTGCAGCTTTTTCCCTCATCACAATATCTGTTTTTTTTCTCTAGAGGAGTTGCCCAGTTGTTCAGCCCTGCTTTTCTTTGGGTCCCCCACCCATTCCCAGCCAACACGCGTTTGGAAACTTGCTGAGAGCTCAGTTAAAATTCCAGACAATTAACTTAGCAGGGAGTTCTCTGGGATCAATAAGCGTGTGTGTGTGTGTGTGTGTGTGTGTGTGTGTGTGTGTGTGTGTAACCCTTGCTGAATCAACAGAACGCAGCCAGACGCACATTCCTACTTCTTTAAAATAAAATCTCCTTGTTTTAAGACCAGCTTAGGCTGAGTTCTGTCGCTTTGCGATGGTAACAAAACGAAGTAGCCAAACTGTCCTCTTCAAAGCAGCATTTCTGCGCTTCCTCTCCCCGCGCTGTCCCTTTATGCTGGCAGCTGGACGTGCATCCTGCCCTGCACAAGATCTCAGTGCCTTTCACATGGTGAAATGTTTTTATTTCTGTTTTCAAACAGATTTTGAGGAGGGGATGTTGCATGTGAAGCTCAGAAAAAAAAAATGGGAATTGGTGTGAGCTCGTGGTGTTTTAATCAGGAGTCTGAAGAACAGAATCCCAGGATCCTGGGACTTTCTCATGGAGTTAATAAAAACCTTGGGTGTTTCTTGCTATGAGTTTGCACCAAGTGCTGGATACTGACTGGATAGGATTAGAAAAGTCCACAATTCAAGTATCTTTCTATTT